CCAGGCCCCCCCGCCCCCGTTCCCTCGAGGGGTCTGAGCGGTGCTCCGCAAGGGGCAGGGCTGCGAGGGCCCCTGCAGTTGGGTGGAAAAATTCCATCAAATGGGGAAGTTTTTCAGCATTCAGAGGTGGGTCCCGCTGCAGCAGCTCCCCAGGGATGCGACTGGGAGGCCCTGGGAGCCAGTTCTTCCCCAGCACCCAGAGGTTACGCAGCCATTTGGGAGGCTGCCTGGGAACACACCAGCGCCCCCTGCTGCAGCTGGTGCAGACAGAACCCAACCTCCCCCCCCCATGAGAGTGCAGCTGGACAGGAACCTTAGGCTCCCGGCTCCCTGGGCCTGTCTGCACATGGAGCCGCTGGGCCCCTCCTACTCAGCACCCACAAGGGGAGATTCTCAGGGAGGACGAGCCCTGGGAGCGGCAGGAAAGTCGGAGGCCAGGAAGCGCCGCGTGGTGGAGAAGCTGGGCCACGCAGCAGGAAGGGCATCATCTCTGCCCCACGTGGAACGTAAATCCCTCCTGCTGCCCGCCCCAGCGTTTCCTTCAGCTCTCGCCTGGGCCTCGCCCCACCGCAGCAGCCCGCAGGGCCTAGGCGCCGTCACAAGCTGCTGGCAGCCACCCCGGCCCTGCCCGCCTCCACGACTACAACAGAGGGCGTCGGCACCAGGGTGACCCTGTTTCTCAAGCTGCTCACCCAACCCCCCAACCCCGCCTTGCTCAAGGTCTGTTCACAAACGGGAAAGTTTTGCAACATTCAGAGGGGCTCAAGCTGCGCAGCTCCCCCGAGCCCTGCCCCCCTTCGGCATGGGGCTGGTTTTGCTGCTTGGCCCCTGGAATCCCACCGTTTGACACAAGTGGGCATTTGTCCCGGTTGCTCCTGACAACCCATCAGTTGGCAAGAGAACGGGGCAAGTACCCACTTGAGCCAAAGGTGTAAAGAAGGCCTGGCCTGGCCTAAGCAGGCTGTCCGGTCACTGTGTGGGGCAGGACACAGGTAAGAAGGTGGCTCTAGGATCTAGGCAGGGAGAGTAAACGCCCCCTGCTCTGGAGATGTGCCTGGGAGTTAACAAGGGAACCGGCCGGTTCTCAGGGCTGGGGGCTCCCCTGAGGCGGGCGCAGCTGCGTGGGTAAGGCCCACACAGGCAGAAACCTTCCTTGGGGTTCTGCAAACTCAAGTGGGAGCCTTGGTGCAGGGTTTGCAACCCCCAGGCAGGGTGGACACAAGCCTGCGCTCCGCCAGACCAGCCTGCCCGAGAGCTGGGCGCCCCAGCCGGGTTTGTGTTTCTGTTGGTGGTGCACACTCGCACGTGCCCGGGTGCGCGCACATTTACTCTGCACGCGGATGGGAAGGGTTGGGGCTCACTGGCAAAACCCCTGGGAAATCCAGCCCGGCTGCTGTTAATCTGCCCTGTATTGGGGGGCCTCACAGCGCCCCCCCCGGCTCAAGGGGCTGCGGCTGCTCCCCCCCTCCCGTCAACGAAACCG